CTAAGGGGAGATGCACACCGCGAGGCACAGTCCAGGGCCTTTGGTCTTCCTACAGCCTGATGGGGCCTCCCCACCATCCTGGTCTCCAGCAGGGTCCGCCTTTGTTGCTGAGCTGAGTGGGGACAGCATGGGGAGGGCGCTGGGCAGGAGGGAAGAGGCCAGGAACCTGGCTGGGCTTTACTCCGGGGCTCTGGCTTTACTCTTCCTGATTTGGCAGGTGACTGTGCTTTGTCAACACCCTCCTGTGGCTTCCCTTGGTGCCAGTCTATTTTACTATTTTATTTATTTTATTGTTGATGTTTCAGGGTGGTTCTTCTCCTTCTCCTTCCCAGAGGCGCTTTACCACTGAGCTACATTCCCAACCTTTTTTATTTTTTATTTTGAGACAGAGTCTTACTAAGTTGCTTAGGGCCTTGCTTAGGCCTGGCCTCAAACTTGCAATCCTCCTGCCTCCATCTCCGGAGCTGCTGGGATGACAGGCATGTGTCCTTGCACCCAGCTTTTTTATTATTTAAGCTTACTTTTTTTAAAATTAAGTTTGCGCCATTGAGTTTATTGTTTTATTTACTGGGGGGTGGTGCTGGGGATGGAACCCAGGGCCTGGCACGTGCTGGCCAGGTGCTAGCCAGGGAACGGAAGCCCAGAGGCTTTTTTCACTTTTATTTATTTAAATTCAAATACTCGGAAGAGCTGCAGTGTGCTTTGCAGTGCTGCCAGGCAGGAGCTTTGAGCAGGCCTTGCTTCAGGCCCTGGGTTCCATCCCCAGCACCACACAAAAAAGAAAGAAATACGATGATAAAAGGAGCAAGGAAGCTGCTCAGGGTCACACAGCGGGGACACCTGCCCTCCCTGGGGCTGCATTGGCACAAACCTGGACAGGATGGGGGCCTTTGGCAGGTGCAGATGGGGACGTGCGTTGACTGGAGAGATTGAGAGTGCGAAACAGGGAGAGAGGGGATCAATGGCCCATTAACTGCCTAAAAACGCGACACCAGGTCAGAGGAAGGATCCTGGAGTTTCCCTCCCATCGGGAGGAATGACCGGTTGGCACTTCTCCCTAAGCATTGCCAAGAAGTCTTGGCCAGTGGTAACCAAACTACACCACGCCTAATTGCAAAAGCAGGACTGTGTTTAAATCACGTCTTGCAAAAAGTTTCTACAGCTAACAAAGAGACACCTAAGTTGGGACGTGGGTGTGTTTGGGAAGGTTTGCGATGGCGCCTTGAAGGCGCGAAGTCCAGGTGGAGCGCGGTGGGGCAGGCGGCAAGACCTCGCAACTGAGGCGAGGGGGTCGGGGTGGGAGGGGACGGTGCGCGGGAGCTGGAGGACTGGCCGGGCGCGAGACGCTGCGGCAGATGGGAGGCCTGTCCCCCGTTCCCCTGGCCGAGCATCTGGCCATCCGCCCGCCCTCCCTTCCTCCTCCTGCCCTTCTCCGGTGTCGCAGCAGGCAGCTGGAGTCAAGTTCCGCTTTTGTTCAGTAGCCCCCAGGGAAGAAAACCAACCCTGGCGACAGCGGATGGCCTGGCGATCTCCCCGGACCGCGCTTCTCGGGTCCAGCCGCCGCACCTGCGCCCGGGCCCGCCCTCGCGCGCACGCGCCGAGCTCCAGGGCTGCTCCCGCGCCCGCCCTTTCTCCCAAGGCCCGACAGAGGGCGCTCCTTGCTCCGCCCTCCCGGGCCCATTTCCCCGTCTAAAATGGGAGTCGCTCGCCTCCTCTGAATCCCCGCCGCGCTGCTGCCCTGTTTCAGGTTTCGTGAAAATCCCACCAGTGGGAAGATTGGGGCTCGTAGAGATCCGGAGACTCCAACACCTCCGCGCTTGCTGGAAAGCCCTACTCTCGTTTTTATCGTCCAGGGCCCCCTTTGTGCGACAGGGTCTCTGTTGCCCAGGCTGGCCCTGAACTCCTGGGCTTAAACAGTCCGCCAGACGGCCTCCTCGGGATGGCATGTCACCATGCTCACCTTTGTGTGTGTGTGGGGGAGGGTATTGGGGATTGAACCCGGGGCACTTTAAACTGAGCCACATCTCTAGCCTTTTTTGTTTGTTTTGAGACAGGGTCTGCCTGCAGCTCCCAAGTCGCTGGAAGAGTCACTATTTTATAGGTTCACTCAACATACTTATTGAGCACCTACTGTGTACCAGACCCTTTGTTTAATGCCCTGCTGTGAAAACCTTAAAATTCTTAATACCTGTGACCAAGGAGCCCTGCATTTTCATTTTGCACTGGGCCCCAAAAAATCTAGTCGGGGGCTGGGGTGTGATTCAGTGGTAGAAAACTTGCCTGGCACGTGCAAGGCCCTGGGTGCGCCCGCAGCACCGCAAAACCACTTACAGCTGGTCCCTCTAGGGATGCAACAGGCATCAAGATGGACAAACATCTTGTAACAGGCGAGATGACATTTGAGGGAGACAGCAAGAGTAGACAATAGTTTTCAAGTGATACTTTGTGTTTTCAGTGGTGATAGGAGCCACGCGGGTGTAGAAAGCCGCTGGGCAGCGGAGTCTCCGTGCGCAGGCTGGAGTGGATGGGTCTGCGGGGCAGGTGCTCCCGCAAGGGGAACTACCAGGCAAAGGCAGGAGGGGGCGCCAGCGGTTTGAGGACCAGAAAGGAGACGGCCGGGGCGGGCTGGCTTGGTCCGGGCATGCGCTCAGGGAGGCAGGGGCAGAGGATGCTAGGAGCTCAGGGGGGCAAACCCTTCCTACAGCGGGCAGGCAGTGCTTTTGGCTTCCGGGCCAGCGGCCGCCACTGTGCGGTTGCATCTTAAAAGCAGCCTGTGCCTGTGGTAAATGGATGGGGCTGGCTCGTCCCCAGAAAGCTTTATTGATGGATGCTGAGCTGTGAATTCATCACGTTCACCGCTAACGATGTATTATTATTATTATTATTTTGATTTCCCTCGCAGCCACCTGCAAGTGTAAAACCATTCTCCGCCGCGCTGTTGGGGGCTGTATATAAACGGGGCAGGGAGGGGAGGGCTGCTGCCCGCACTTCGTGCTGAGTGGGGTCCCCAGAGGCTCTGCACAGGGGAAAGAGGAGCTAGGCGGGTCAGGAAGTGGCTGCTGGCTGCAGCGGGTGGGGAGGGAGGAAAAGGGTCAAGGGCGGGTGTGCAGACCAGGAGGACGTGTGGTGCCTGCAGTTTGGGGTTGACCAGGGCGGTGGCCACCAAAGGGCCACTCCATGTAGTGCAGCTGGTGGGGGTGGCTGGTGGCTTGGAGATGGGTGATGACCAAGGTGCTGCTGGGACTTGGCTTGAGCCCTGGGGGACAGGGCTGTGCCTGGCACACTGCAGTGGGCTCTGAGAGGCAGTCTGGTCTGAGCTAACCCGTACCTAGGAAGACAGGTGGAGAGGATGGAGGAAACGCAGCTTGAGCTGGGAGATCCATTTCGCGTCCTCCTGGACGTGCCTGGGGTCAGCCCCACCTCCCAGGGTGAGAGGAGGGGGAGCCTCAGCTCCTCCCAGCTGCTTCTCACCCGCTGCTGCACCCGCCAGCCCACCCTTCCCTCCGTCTGTGCAAAGGCAGCTAAGGAATCCTCAGGCCACCCACCTAAGCCTGGGGTCTGAATGGGGGGAAGGGGACAGTTCTGCCTCTCCCCCATCAGGGACTGGCAGCAATGTCCATGGCTGTCCTGACTGGAGAAGCCCCCGGCATGGAGCAGGTAGTGGCACTCTGCAGCCCTCAGGATGCCCATCCCAGAGAACCACCTGGCCCCAGAGTCCAGTGCCGAGGGAGAGACCTGGCTCTATGGTGTCTGTTCTGTTGTCTATTCCATTTAGCAATTGAGAACTTGAGGCCCAGAGAGGGGAGGTGACTGGCCCAAGATCACACAGCTGGTATAACAAGCCGACCCCCACCCCGCCCACCGACTCTGCGGGGCCCCTGCTCCACAGGCTATGGAAGGCCTGGCCTGGACTCCTCCTCTGTCCCCTGTGGGCCCAGCCTCTCCCGATGCCTCCTTTTTGTGAATTTGCTGTTGCATCACCGGGTCAGAGGCCGCAGCCCCCCCCAATCCTGCCTCCTCCGCCCCAGATGCCCCTGCTTTGCCAGCACCTCCTCTCTCAAGCATGGGGCTCCCTGCTCAGTCCTGGCCACTCTTGCCCTAGGGTCATCTTCTCACCAGCCCTGGCCTCTTCCCCAAGCCACTACACATGTCAGTCGCCACTGGGCATGTGCCCTGGACGCCCACCGGGCCCTTTGACACTGAATGGGTTTGAACTTCCCGCGTGGAAGATGGTCCTTTTCCAGGACACACTTGGTGATGAACATGTCCCCCAAAGAGCAGATCACCCCTACCTCTGCTTCTCTGGCCCCACAGCGACTGATTTCTGTCCAGTCTCCCACTTTCTTCCATGTGACCCGGGTTGCCCCCTCCCCACCCATCCTTCACCTGGGGCTTCTGAAATGTCAGCCTCCAGTGCGGAGCCACAGGTAGGAATTTTGCGCACTGTCTGTGGAGTGTCCAGGCCTGACTAGTGCATCTGGCATCCAGCAGACACTCAATAAATGCTTCTGGCTGAAGGACCCTCTCTCCTAAAGGGTACTCTGGTCCATGTTTGTTGAGCTGTGTGCTAGATGCTATTCCAGGCACAGGGACACAACACTAACCAAGTGACCAAGACACACCCAAAGTGCCTCCCCCCTTGTGGAGCTAACAGGGTGAGGCAGGCTGAGAGGGTTGGGAAACAGGTGTCTGGAGAGGTGCAGCCATGCAGAGACAGCAGGCGATGTGAGGGGTGCTGGGGAGGTGATTTTTGAGGCTGAAACATCAGGAGGAGCCAGCTGGGTGGGTGTCCGGGGAGGGTGCTGACGGTGCAGCCCTGCAAAGGCCCGGGGGCAGCCCAGCCTGCTGTGCTGGAGGCTCCGAGAGGGAAGAGGGGGAGAGGAAGGAGGCAGGGAGGGCACGGGGCAGATGGTGCAGGACCCTCTGGGCCACAGAGAGGGCATAACTCTGAGGGAGATGGGAGCCATGGAGGGCTGTGGGCAGAGGAGAAGGGCCTGGCTCTGGTGCTGGAGCTACTTTCTGCAGCTTCTAGGAGGAGACGCAGGGTGGGGAGGGTGCAGCAGAGCGACTGCACTGTGCAGGTGGCCACCACCATTCCTTCAAGTTCCCTCACAGGAAGCCCTCCCTGACTCCAGCCACCTAGGGCAGCCTCACAAGCTCCCCACTCGGTTCCGGTCATGGCCCCAAGCACACGGTTCATGAGTCTATGGGTACATGCCTGTCTCTCCAGGGACCCGGTGACAGCAGGGACTGTCTCAGTCACCACTGGATCTGCCCGGCTGAGGGCAGGCAGAGGAGACAGACCTCCCCACACCTTGGGGCCAGAGCCAAGGGCATGTCCTGTGTCTTTCAGTGGATTTAGCTGAGCATCTACTGTGTCGCGCCCTCCAGTGTCCCCAGGAGCTAGCCGTAGAGCTACGTCTGTATTGGATGAGTGAACCAAGCTTTTTCCTTGTGCTCACTGAATGCCAGGCACTGCGTGGTGCGGTGCTTCGCATACAGTGTCTGGCCAGTGCTCGTGGTGACCACCTGCCATGGTGACTGCTTATCCCGAAGCCGTCCCACAGTTGAGGAAAGGGAAGGGGACAGCCGGTAAGTAGCTCAGCCCAGTCAGCCAGGTGGCCCAAGCGGGGCGGCCAAGCGCTGCGTTCAAACACACGGTGCGGAGAGGGACGGAGGGACGAAGGTGCGGGGGCGAGGCCGCAGGGTGAGGCCGGCGGGTGGGGCCCGCAGAGGGACGGGCATCCCGCGGGGCGGGGACGATGGGCGGGGCGGGGCCGGGGGCGGGACTTCGGCTCAGGACCCGCCTCGCCCGGCCCCAGCCCCTCGGTCCCAAGGCCCCGGAACCCGCCGCCGGTCGCCCGGACGCCATGAAGCAGCTGTGCCTGTGCGCGGCCACCTCCTTCGCGGTAGGGCCGAGGGCGCGGGTCCCTCCTCTCCCTCCCGTCCTGGCCGCCCGCCCCCCGCCCCCACCCCAGACCTGGAAAGATGCGCGAGGGAGGGGTCCGGGGTGAGGGCAGCTTTGGGGGACAAACGGGCCATTTGGGGACACACAAGGGCACGCTTGGGGAGGGCGTTCTGAGACTAGATGGGGCAGTTAGAGTGTAGAGGGCATTTGGAGGGACGGTTCTGAGGCTAGATGGGAGCAGGAGAATATATAGAGGGCATTTGGGGGGACAGTTGGGAACCCCATGGAAACGCTGGACCATTTGCGGGGACAGTGTGGAGGCTGTTCGGGGAGGCAGCTGGGAGGAGATGGCATTTGGGAACTGTTTCAGAGACCACTGAAGGGAAGGGGTTTGGTTTTGTTATTGTTGTTGTAGTTATTATTGTTTTTGAGGATATTTTGGGATAATGATCTGGGAATTCGTGGTTTTAGAGAATACTTCAGGCATTTGGGGGCGGCAGTTTGGAATGCACGTCAGGCTGTGATTTTGAGTGGACAGGCCTTGGGACATCTGGGGGACAGTGGTGCCAGGTGCAGTCATGGGAGCATAGGTGGGGCAGAGTGCTTTAGAGCTGGGAAAGGGACCTCTTGGAGGCCTGGTGGGGAGACTCTGGGGTAGTTCGGGAAAGACTGGATCCATTTGCTGGAAGTGAGGTTGCAGAGGGGGAGTCACACTAAGGGACACGGGGCCTTGGACAGTGGGGGCCATGTTTTGGGAGAAGTGGGCTGTCAGGGTGTTAGCAGGAGGCTGGGTGGACGGCTGCGGCGATGGGCCTGGGGAAGATGCTGGGGGCGCGAGCTTGGGAGACGCTGTCTCAGGCCCCCGCCCAGAACCACCTCCCCTGCAGCTGCGGCTCAGCCCCACCGACCTCGGCTCCTGCCCACCCTGCGGCCCCTGCCCCATCCCGAAGCCCGCAGCCAGAGGCAGGCGCCAGGCAAGTGCCCAGGGGCGGGCGGCCAGAGCCCAGGGCCCCTGCCAGGGGGAGTGGGGAGGGGCAGCCGCCAGCCCAGCCCCACACGCCTGGTGCCCCCACAGGGCCAGGACTGGGGCAAGAGTGACGAGAGGCTGCTGCAGGCCGTGGAGAACCAGGACGCAGCCCGCGTGGCCGCACTCATTGCCCGCAAGGGGCTGGTGCCCACAAAACTGGACCCTGAGGGCAAGTCCGCGTGAGTGCCCCCGCCCCACGGGTGGGAAGGCTGGGGGGGCTGGCGGTGGCTGACCTCTGCCCTCTGCTCCCCAGGTTCCACCTGGCGGCCATGCGGGGTGCAGCCAGCTGTCTGGAGGTGATGCTGGCCCACGGCGCCGACGTCATGAGCACTGACGGAGCAGGTAGGCAGCCCGGACCCCGGTGGAAGTGCAGCAGAGGCCAGGCCCCAGCCCCAGCCCAGCAGGCCCCGCTTCAAGTCCTGCCCATCCCCGTGGGAAGAGGGGGCCCCCACGGCCCCCGGGACAGGGCCATGCCAGCCAGCAAGCCCACGGACAGAGACTTTGGCTGGTGTTGAGCACGGAGATGGCAGCTGTGAACAGGGGGAACTAGGGTCTGGTGGAGGGTGGATCAGAGGAAGCAGCTGGAACAGGGGAGCCTCTGGGCTGGGGGAGCTTCTGAGAAAATGACTAAGCAGAGGGGGAGCCTGGGTTCCTCCTGAGGGAGTCGGACCCCGGGGGGCCTGGGACCCGAGGAGCATCTGGGGTGTTCAGGGAGAGGCCAGGGAAGTGGGTGGGGAGGGCAGGGCCTGGAGCTGGGGAGCAGCTGGGTTCACGGGGATAGCTGAGCCTAAGAAGAACCAGTGAGGCTGGGAGGACCTGGGCTGCAGGCCTGGCTGGGCCTAGGGGCAGCCGGAGCTCGAGAGTAGCTGCAGCAGTGGGAGAATCTGGGCACGCGAGTCAACTGGAGACCGAGGTAATAACTGGGAAATCACGGCCAAAGGGAGTCCTGGAGACTCGGAGTGACTGGGCATGCACAGAGCGACATCCAAGGCTCTGGGGCCCAGGCAGAGCAGGCAGGGAACACGGAGTAGCTGGGGGTTGGCCGATGGGACAGGGTGGCACCTGGGGCAGCAGGAGGATCTGGATGATCCTCGAATCATGGTGGCTGGAGCTGGAGCTCAGTGCAGGGAGCATCCAGAACAGCTGCGATGTGAGGAGTAGCTGTGACTGCAGGTCGTGAGTTTGTGGGTGCAGTGTGCAGCTTAGATTATGAGGTGTCCGGGACGCCAACTGGCTGGGGCTGGGAGGCTCTGACCCAGGGAGCAGCGCAGTTGTGAGAAGTAGCTGGGAAGTGGGGACTTAGCCACGGGCAACTGCACACAGCAGACTCGGGTTTGGGGGCAGCTGGGAACCCCTGCATTAGCAGAGCTCTGGTGAACCTCTCCTTCCAGGTTACAACGCCCTCCACCTGGCCGCCAAGTACGGGCACCCGCAGTGTGTGAAGCAGCTGCTGCAGGTCATTGGCCTTCTTATCTCAGATACTCCCTGGACTCCAGGTTCTCCCTGAACCCCAATATGCTTTGGCCCCTTCACTTTCAAGCTCTAGCTACTTCCTGGACAACCACGTACGCCCCACGTCAGGACGCCCTCTCGGCACCACAGACGCTTCCTGAGCCCCTTTCCCTCAGCACGACCTGCTTTTTCAGCCAAGGTCACCCTCAGAGGGTCACCCTCAGAGGCCCCAGCTGCTCCCGAGCTCCCAGCACTTTCTCACCAACCCCAGGGCCTGACAGGTGGCTCAGCACGCCAGGGAGCGGGGACAGGGCCGCAGGAGCGGCATTCAGCGAGCCCGGGCGGGGAGGTGGTCCTAGGGAAATCAGGAGGGAGAGGCTGGCCGTGTTGCAAGTGGCCTGTGCCCCTTCCCAGGCCTCGTGCGTGGTGGACATCGAGGATGGCAGTGGGTGGACAGCCCTACATCATGCAGGTGGGTGGCGCCCCGCCCACCGTGGCTGGAGGGGGTGCTGGGCTGGGGTCATTCTGGCCAGGGTCTCTCCGTGGTGGACTTCCTGCCTCCTCCTTTTCCTTACCTGCCGCGGGCTGGGCATGGGGCTCCGCGCCATCCTCAGTGCCCTGGGAAGCACAGGCCGTCACCCTCGAATGGATGAGGAGTGCTGAGGTCCAGTGCCTGGGGGACCCTGCGTCCCCTCTTTCCTGTATTCAAGTGGCTGGTGGCGGAGCCTGTGGATCAGGTCTTTGTGTGGACGATGGCAGGGCTGCCCAGGCTTTAAGTCCCCTGAGGAACTGGAGCATCTCTGGAGAGCTCAAGGCCCAGGCAGCCAGTGGCTTCCCCCCCACTGAGCCGAGCCCACCGCTGGGGAAACATTTGTTCTTAGGGATGCGATGGGACTGGGCTTGGTTCAGAGTCTCGGGGCCTGTCCCAGACTTCCTGCAGCTGGGGTCTGCCGCCCCATGGTGTGGCGCCTCCCGTCTCCAGTGGAGTGGGCCTCGCTGTGGAAGGCCCGTGGTTTCCCGCCCCCTGCAGACACTTGTTGGATGGGTCCCTCTAAGGGCAGCAGAGGAAACCCAGGCTCCCTCAGGCGCACAGCAGGCTGTACATAGAGTTTGCTGGCTGAAAACTGGGTTCAAAGGCTGGGCGAGTCAAACAGGAGGAAAATGTGGGGATCTGCGCGGCTTCCCAGGAGCCACAGTGGATCCCTGCAGGGCGTGGGAGAGGGAGGCAGCAGGCCGGTCCTAGACGTGGCTCTCTCTGCTTCTGAGCCCGTGGGGGGCCGTGGGCCTGGTTTCCTCATCTGTAGGAGGAAATATCGCCTTCGCTGTAAAAGTGGCATCCAGGCAGGAGGCTCCCCCAAATGTCTGCGCCCTCCCCTTCCCCTCTTTCCTCTACTCAAGCGGCTGGAGGCTGTCTGTCCTGCTCAGAGATGCTCTGCTCCTTCAAGGCACATCTGAACCCGCGGGACCGGGTGAGCCTGCATGTTTTAGAGATTCCTCCAAGTGGCCGCCCCAGGCCCCCTTTGCGA